CATCTGCTCTGAGGACTCACACATTTGAAGTGTTCAGCAAACACACAACTTGAAGTTCCCATGCAGAGCTAGGCATTTCTTTTATCTGAGCAAGTTCATGGACTCTGTGTTAGAGCTGGCCAGGCCTGCAGCCCCTGCCTCAGTGTGCCCAAAGAGAGCCTACCAGACACAGGCATGCTCATCTTTATGTTCTGCCTGGAACTATTTGCTTTGTAATCCCAGAGCTGAGCTGCAGAGTCGAACATGACCTCTGTCTGGCCCTTTCAGAATGCTTATCTTGAGCGCAGCTCTGAATCAGGCGTGTCTGTGAGGACCTGAGACAGTGTCACACCCACGCTGCCCTTATGGGGACCACACAGGACTTGTGGGTGCTGGCCTCTTGGGAAGTTTGAAGGGGCAGGTTCAAAATGGGTCACAGCAGGGAGCACAGTGGGTCTGTTCATGGGACAAGCACAGAGTGTGTGGACAGGCAGTGTGTACATTAATATGTGCATGCATACATATGTAGGGTGTGCATCCAGCCAGATTGAAAGAAGCCTTCCCTGGGACAGTGACAGAGCAGGGTAAGGTGCCACCGGGCTGTGTCTTTTAGCCCTGATAAAGAGGGAGGGTGGGGCACACGATGAGAAATGTCCTCCCAGAAAGAGGTCGGTGAGCACTTCAGCAAGAGCAGGAGCAGAATGTCTCCCATGCCCCATAGATGGATTTGTCTCTGTGGGGGCTGTTTCCAGTGCAGGTCACTGGAGAAGCCCAGACTCCAGAACATGAAAAACCTACACTTAAGAGGGAGAGGGCAACCAGGACACGGCACCCACCCATCCCAAGAAGCAGCCTTATTTACAGAGGCTGGGCCCCCAGGCCTCACAGAAGATAACCCACATATCCCCCAGATAATAATGGGTACCCTTCCTGGAACCACTGATGTGACCTGCCATCATGGTGGTGAAGGCACAGTAGCAGGAGCTTGAGACAGCTGGCTGCATTGCATCCAGAGAGAGATGGGGCACTGGTGTTTAGTTCAATTTCCTTTTCTCTAGTCCAGGCCTCCACCCCAGGGAATGGGGCTGCCCACATTTAGAGTGATTCTTGATACTTCAGTGAAGGCTTTTCTGGAGACACCCTCACAGATATATCTAGAGATGTGTTTCCATGGTGATTCTCAATCTAGTCAAGCTGATGAAATTAACCGTCACAACCATGAAGACAGGGAAACCCACCCAGACCTGTAGTCATCAGTGATGCTAAACAGAGCTGGAAAAGCCAGTGCCCATACAGCATGAACACTTGGTTTGCAGAGATTGCTGTATGCACATGTGGTAAATGAGTGTGTGCATCACAGTGAGGCTTTGCTGGCAGGAGGACCCGGAGCTCAGCCCTGGAAACACAATTGTATCTGCATATCATCGGGGAGAAGCTTTCGTTAGTAAATACACACATACCGATGGAGGGGAGCACTGAGAGAAGAGACTCCCTCCGGTAAGTGATGTGCATTTTTAAAATCTGGATCACACAAAGGAGCACTGAATCACTTCCTAAAGGGGAAGAGAGTTTCCCTGGGTCATTCATTGACTACCCATAATGGACCAAGAGCTCCTAGTAGAGCAGGCATCATCATCAAGCTTCCTGAGACTTTGATGGCTGAAATCCTGGCCAGATGAGCTGTTGGGCTCACTCGGTATGCCTGGGGAAGAAGGGAAGGACACCCTCACCTGTGACGCTGCTGTTACTGCTTCTGCAGGCCAAGCTGACAAGGTGGGAGGACTTAACAGGATAGGAACTCAGAGCAGTGGAGGATCAGTTTGCCAGGAATTTGTCATTGACTACCAACATCCCCTAGGAATGGTGGCAGGAGCCATGAGGAAAGGGATGGGGAGAGTCCCTCTTCTGCTTGGGTACAAAACAAGTGATTCCCAGGTACCTTAAATCAAAAGGCACTGTGAGATGTGCCATCATTTTAGGTTTCCCTTTAACTGTGTGAAAAGTTGAAGACTTTTCCTGGTGGACTCACAGTAAATGCTACAGGGATCCATTGGTTGCAGGGATACACACTACACAGAAGTGTTGAATGTGTGTGGCAGAGTGAAGGGGATTGAAAACCTGTCCTGTGGATAAATCTACAAGACTATGAAGTGCATAAACTAATAGTCTCTTGGCATTTAAAATATATGCATTGCTGAAATGTGAGAAAATGGTGCAGAACCGTTATTAAATGGAGTTAAGCATTCTGTTTGCACATATCTTTCATTACGTTGTTAATTATGTATTTTATCATCATGTTGAAGGTTGTGTTAGATTATAGTGAGTCAGGGATGCACATTATATTCTCTAACACAGCATTCAAAATAATGATGAAATATATAATTAACAGTGTAATGAAGAGAAATGAAATAAAATGCTTGTCTTATCAAAGTGAGATGAATGAAGGGAAAATTTGGGTGTGCAAATGACAAGCAGTTGAAACAAACACATCCAGGATGGGATCACATTAAATATAAATGGTCTGGATATTCCTATTTCAAGCCAAAAGGTTCCATATAGCACTTGAAAATATACCCCATAAATATGTTATAGAAAGGAGGGTGACAGATGATAGGAAATGAGAGAGAGAGAGAGAGAGAGAGAGAGAGAGAGAGAGAGAGTATGGTTGGGTCACACTCCTAGACACAGGACAAGATGAAGCCCCACAGACAAAGGAGGGACACTGTGTAGCAATAAAGGCTTAAATCCACCCAGGGGAAAAAAAAAAAAAACACGCTGGCCGTTATGGGCCTTGACAAACCGGCAGAACCAAGGAGTGAACTTCTCTGTGAACTTTGACATACCTGTCTGTCTGGTGACAGACAGACAAGCAATCGGTACCCGAGCTATGTGATTAATAAATTAATAAAATGTGCAATTGACTCTGTTGAACAGTATATCCCACTGCAGAACTCACCTTTCATGCTCCAAGTAGGAAAATCTGCCCATGTGTCCAAAAAACTTGCAATCATATTTTTCAAAATCTTCCCCAGACTGTGGTTTGTGACAAGAGGTCCCTCCATCTGTAGTTCACGTCTGGGGTAGCAGTGCCCACAGTGTCTGTATAACTGGCACTTTCTCCTTGTGGGAGTGATGTCCCAACAGGTCCAGGGCCAGTGAAGGCTTTCTCACCCCTGGAGGCACATTTTACACTGGCTACTTGCAGCCAGCTCATCTCTTGCATTTTGCTAGCTGATACTGGTATCTTTGCTTTTGCTTATGAATTTAGTTTTTTAACTATATATTAATGTCCCCAAGAGGAGCAGCTGGACATCTCTACAGCTCTCAAAGGTGCCTGAGAACCACCGAGTCTTAATGACACTAAGATGCAACATTTTGCATTGGTTTTGGCATTATTGTGGAGAGGAGATTGATGAAGTCGAAGGGCTCTCTCCTTTTGAAGATATCTAGAATCTAGGATCTGGGGTGATTAGAGTGTGGGCTGCAGAAAGGGAGGAGAGTCTGCTGGGGCATCTTATAAGCAAGGCAGAGCCCAGTAAAACGTGTGCCCTTAACACCTAAATAACTCAACTTAGGGTTACATGGAAAGAACAATTTTCTTTTATGATTGGATAACAATGAGTGTATGCATTCCCTAAGGTGGTGTGGAGCTTGCCAGTGGCTCCATGCCTCTCTAATGAGCTCAGGAGCACCTGCACCATGCTGGTCTTCTGGGCTTGGTCCTCTTCTCCTCCTAAAAGATGCTTTCTGTTGGAAAGAGGAGATTTTCCTGAGAAGCTGTGTGTGCCCATCATTCCTGCTGCTCCACAGCCCATGACTCCTGAGCAAGGTTGAGAACAAGCAGCCCAAGCTTTCCAAGTGTGTGGTCAGTTATAGGAAGAATTGCTGGGCAGACAGGGTCTCCACTTGCAGAATTAGGAGATTTACACTCTTCTAAGGGTCACTTTGAGGATCTCTGGGACATAGAGTGACCAGATGGCCATCCTTCCTGCCTGCCATTCAGCTATCCTTGGCCAGTAACTAGATCGCCCCCCCCTTCATGGGTTATGGCCCCTACACTGGAAGGAAGTACCTTCTTGACAGAAACTTGTGACTTTGAGGTCCTGTGGTACCCGTTAACAAGGATGATGTTTATGGAGCTGGAGAAAGGCCTGTAGGGGACTTTGAGGTTATGATGGAATGGGCTGGTGGAAATATCAAATTCCTCCAAAAATTTTGAAAATTCCAAATGAACCCCAGAGACACGGATATAAGGGACAGGGCCCTACAGGCCCAGTGGGAACTGACCAAGGCCAAGACAGTCTTGTGTTTGTGCAGTTGGTCAAGTGTGCCTTTGGATATCTACCAACCCTCATCACCTCCCTCTGGCTGTTATCAGATGTGGCCCTCCCCCAGGCAAAGGCAGATGGGTCCTAAGAGTTACCCTGGAACCAGGCTCTGGCTCATGCCTTGCAGCATCACTAAACTCCATCTTGACACCCAGGAGGAAGCTGAAGTCACACTACATTGAGTACTCAGAGCCACACCTTGAGGCTTGGACCCCTGGCCAATATCTATGTAAGGTCCTCATTATGGCCAAGTTGGAATTCAACCCAGGCTGGGCCCACTTCAGAGCCTGTGCTCCTGCTGCAAAATCATTCTCACTGTCAAGAATTCCTCTCAGTCCATATGAGAAGTGTGAAAGAGGCAGACACACAGGGGTGGGGTAGAATGGGGATCTGCCATGTGAGGGTGAGGGGTAGAAGAACTCCATCCCAAAGAGAGATCTCCTCCCAACTGAGGAGAAGGCCCAGCAGATGTCTTGGTCATGAATAGTACAGGCCTTCATGCATGGTGCTTTGGATCATGATATGGGTGACAATCACTTTGAAAGGGAGAACTACACTTTTGATTTGGCTGAAGAGGGAGCCCTTCAATGACTTGACCTAGGACCCCTTAGTGTGAACTCATCCTGTCAAATACCCCTGCAAAACTCCCACTCATCCAAGAGCTAGGAAGAGCCTCAGGGGCAAGTGATATTCTTACTTCACCTCAGCCCACAGGGACCTGCAGATCAGGGGCCACTTGCCTGTTAGTTCCAGGTTGCCTTCAGATCTTCCTATGTTTTGAAGGATTCTGTCCAGAACAGACACTTTCCTTTTCTTATCATTGTTTGTATTCTTCTTTTCTGTGGGACAAAAATATACTTTGAGAAAGCAGCATAGCCTGGTGCTTTTTCTCTAACTTCAGAAATAACTCAGGCAGAGTATTCAGCTCACTGGTAGTGTGCCCTTGCCTAGCATTAACAAAGCCCTAGATTTGATCTGTAACAACATGAAAACAATTTTTAAAAAATCCAACCTCTAAGACTCTGAGAGAAAAATGAGAAAAACCACAGAAGAACTGACTCTGTGATCAGCAATGGGACCCCCTGGAAACAGGGTCTTTGCAGATATACGAGGCTAGATGAAGGCTTAGAGGAAAAGCTTGGACATGTGACCATGTCCTTCTACAAATGGAAAATCTGGACACATGGAGAATCTGAGTGAAGACAAAGGAAGTATCAAGTGACATGTGCAAAGCCACAGAACACTGAGAATGTCCACCAGGACAACCAGCCCCATCCAGTCTTCCATCTCAGACTTTAGGCTCTTAGAAGTAGAGGATGATGAATTTCTATGATTTAAACCACATGGTATGTAAGAATTTGTTAGGATTACCCAAGGAGACAGGCATGACAGATCAGTCAGCCATGTTGCAGATGACAACTCTAATATTTGATTAAAATGTGGAACATAGAACAATCTCCTGAGGGCCTGGTGGCCAGTGTGGACAGGACTCCACATGTTCCCTACAAGGTTGGTGACTGCTCCAACTTCAGTACCATGACAGAGACTGTCGCCATTTGTAGGTGGCTCTGCAAGATGGCTTCCCAGACCTCATGGATACCCTGGATCTCAGTGGCTCAAGAGTTGGCTGAGTGTACCCCCACTTTCTTTGGGTTCAGTTCACAATAAGAAATTCATGCTGTGACCACATCCACTCTCCTGCCACTGAAACAAACAGTCCATCAGTGTCTGCATTTTTTTTAAAATGTTGGAACAACTTAGTAGGTTTTATGAGCTGTTCCTGGTTAGAATCAGTTTGGAAACTGGCAGGTGGAGCTGAGGGAAGCGACATGCCCTTGGTCTCAGGGAGAGGATAGCTTGCCACTGACTAGGTTTCCTTAACTGAGCTCTTCCATTCCCGTTTATGCTGTAGTTGCCTTCAGTGACCATGGGGGAAAAGCTTTCCCTTGTGTGTTCAAGTCCATATGCTGGGATCTGCTGTCTTCCCAATATGCTGTTTCCTGATTGTTTCAAAAAGGCTGTGTGCACCTCACAGGCATACGGATGGTCCACGGATGACACACAGGTATTCTTGAATAGGGTGGAGCTGTGGGCAAAAGCATCAGGACCATTGGAAATATCAGGACCATTGCCCTCCTTCATGCCGGTGAGTCTAGGAGTCTTTCTTGGCTTGTCAGGTTCTCACAGAGATGTCTCTGCCTGTCCTTTAGCCAATTAGCCCTGAAGCTCTATATGCCCCTCAGTGTGAATGCTCACTCACTCATTCATTCAATTAACTCATTCATTCAATTCAATGCCGTGTCAGGGACTCAGGCAGCAGGGATGGACTTGCAGTTCCCATAGGAGACCATTCCTACAAGGGACACTCTCACCCCCAGGGTAACAGGAGGTGACGGGAAACATGAATAGCATTTAACCTATACCCAGGAATCCAGTAGCCCTGAGTTCCATCTGATAGTTCTTTTAATTTTTAGGAGCAAGCTAAATTAGGATCTGCCTTACTGCTTCCATTTAGCTTTTTCTAAAAATTACAAGGAGTGACTCATGCTATGGCAGGCAGGGGAGTCACAGTGATCACCAGTGCTGGACCCAAGGAAGGCTCCAGTTGTAACTGAAAGCTCTTTGCCCCTCTTCCATGAAGGAGGGTATGGACTACAAGGCTAATTTCCTGCCAATCATAATACTACCTCCCACCCCTAGTGTCACTGGGGGTGTGTCAGCCTTCTTCTGTCATTTCACTCTTACTTGAAAAACAGCCACTCCCTAGGCTATCCAAAGCACCCAAGAGTCTGGCATCCCATCGCTGTAGATTCACCACCAAGCCTTTCTGGGCTGAAGAAGGGGAAAGGTATGGCTTTGGAAGTAGAAAGTCTTGTCTTAGGTCAGAGGGAAAGAACAGCAAACCATCTGTCCCCAGTTTCTGCAGAAGCGGGGTGTCTGGAAGTCAGTGGTACCCAGGCCCGAAGATGCTCATGTGGCACTGTGTGTAACCTGGCGATTCTCTTGACACTTAAAAGCACATCCAGGTGATTTATAAGCACCAATACATTATGAATGTTATGAAAATCCTTGACGAGGCAATCCAAACAAGGGCCGGTGAGTGTTTGGTGTAGAGAACATTTGGTTGTGGTGGGGGTGTATTTTTGATCCCCGGTTGGTTGGATCCTCTGACATGGTGCCTGAGGCCCAAGGATGAGACAAACATTATTATTAATAAGACAGTGGTAGAGAATCAAGGGGAGCTCTCGCCTAGCTACACTGCCATGGCTGTCACCAGGGCAACTTGGTGTTACTGCTTTAATTGGGGCGGGGATCGTTGTTAGGCTATGTCCTCACTGTCTTTGTTGTCTTTGCTCATCCCATTCATTGTATGTCCTCATGTCTATGTTGTCTCCGCTCATCCCTGCTTCTGCATCTCACTTTCACATTTCTCCTCTGCCACTGACAAAGCTTCCGGGTGATGGAGACTCTTCCTCAGGCCACACTTAGAGACCGCATTTCAGCTGGACTGTCATTCTAAGTCCATCACTATGTTTTCTTCATTGTACAACTTTGATATTTTATGTCTTCAATTCTTTTCTCACATGGATGAATAATTTCGAACATTTTTTGTGCAACCATTTAATGCCATAACCTTTCATGTAAGCATTGATTTCTCTCTCACAAATTTCAGCATGTGTTTTCACTTTTATTCAATTAGAAACATTTCCAAATTTCTCTTTTGACTTCTTTACACAGTGGGTCATTGAGAAGCTCGGTGTGTAAATTAGCTAATATTTAGACAATTTCCCTACATCTCTCTACATCGATGATTTCTCATTTATTTCTGTCGTGTCTGGAGAATGTTTTTGGTATGCTTTTAATTGTTCTAAATTGTTTGGTCCTAGTATCATGGTTGAGAAAGAAGTCAGAGAAACATCACCCTTTACAATAGCAACTAACAACATAAAATATCTTGGGGTAACACTAGCCCAAAAAAATGAGAAAGACCTGTATAGTAAGAACTTTGGGTATATATGCATTTTTAACTAAGAAAAAAGCAAATGAAGTAAAATGTTGAAGAAATGAACAAAAATATAACAGCAAACTAAAACAACTGTAAAGTAGAACAAACAACCCTTATGCCAGAGAAATTTGGTCCCTAAAGCTTTAAATACGAAACAAGTTCTTTTTAGTACTGCAAGCTGATGTCATTATGAATATAAAACATCCATAAAAGTCTATGTGTCATATGACAGATACCACACTCAGGAAGTAAAATCTACAAAAGTGCATCGAGACTTATGCAGAATTATATTGTAACAGGATAACAATATAACACTCTCAATGGAAGATTCAATGGATAAAAAATGAGAGCAGACAACAAAATAGTGTGGCCAATAAAGTGGAATTCACAAACATGTATTGCGCTCCTGAGGCATGGTGATGTTATGATACAGGTCTTCTTTATAACTGCTCATGGGACATTCTGAAAGTTGATCATGTGCTTGATGACATGGGGGAATTCACAAGATAACACTGATACAAATGATGCATTCTAAATGTGACATAATGAAACAGGTTTTTTTTTTTTTTTTTTTTTTTTTTTTTTTTTTCAAAAAAAAACAACAAAAAAATTGCAACATTAGAAGACATTTTTATTAGAAAGCCAGTTTCAGTTAAAAGAAAAGAGCTACAAACTAAAATGATAGAATTTCTGGAAAAGTCAAAGAGTATGAATGACAATCTGTGGGGTTCATTAGACAATGAATAACACTGAACAATTATTTGTAATAAAAGAATTACTCAAGCCTCAAAACTTAAAAAAGAGCAACAAAGCAAAGTGCAAAAGAAACAAAACAAATGGTGCTGGGGTGGTGGGGAATAGAATCAATACATCAAAACCCTGACGCTGGGGAGAACAGCCAATGAGGCAAAGCACTTAGATATACTCAAAAAGGGGGAAATGCAGTTAAGAGTGCAAAATAAAAACTGCAAAATTTCAAAACAGAAAAAAACAATATTAAAAATAAATGAGCCAGACAGTGGTGGAGCACACTTTTCATCCCAGCACTCACAAAGCAGAGGCAGGCAGATCTCTGTGAGTTTGAGGCCAGCCTGGTCTATAGATTGAACTCCAGGACAGCCAAGACTACACGGAGAAATGAACCAAATAAACCCAAATGAATGAATGAATGAATGAAATGTCCAGAGACACTCTAAAGACCTTGCAAATACAGGTGAAAAGTTAGAGACAATGGATAATCTCTCAAGGAAATACAGATGGCCAAGAATAACCCTTGATATAAACAAGTAGAATCATCCAACCAAAAAGGGGCAAGGGATAGGGACAAGTTTGCACTAGAGAAAAAGTAGAAATTCTGACTAATGTCTGAAGATTCACTGATAGCCAGGGAAATGCACATTTTAAAAAGTAACAGTGAATTTAGTCTCATTGTTATTTCACTCCCAATAACAATAATTTGGGGTTATTCTTTTTGACTTGTGGAATTCCTGTGAGAACAAAAAATGCATAGTGATAAAAGACTTTGTAGGCTTTTTATTCTTGTTAAATATGAAATGATCCACCCATAAGAAATATGTCAGTGTGTGTGGTGTCAGGGAGTAAACAGTGTCAAAGGCTGCCTACTATGGTTTTAGCACTTTAGGAATCTGAGATGGGGAGGCTATCAAGAAATAAAAAAGAAGAAGACTGCAGTGCCCACTCCCTGTATCTGTAACATGATTCATCTTTGATTTTAAATTAATTATTACATATTTTGATATTTTAAATATGTATATACAGAGATAATTATTTGAACAATAAATAAAAAGAATAACACTTGAACCAAGAAATAAATTTCTCTAAAGGTAATAAAGTCATCAAGGAGATACCTCAGAAGACGGTGCCAGAGTAAGTCCATTGCATGGGGCTTTACAATGCTCTATAAATTTCCCCAGAGAGTCAAACACAAATTAAATAAGAAAATAGTAAATAATAATGTTTTTAAAAGGAGAAAATCTTCATTCTTCACTATAAAACAGTGTTATCCTGATGCTGCAACCTGATATGGAACTTAGGAACTCACAAACTAATGTCCTTCGTTCATTTAGATTCAGAAATACTAATAAATTATTGGCAAGACAAATTCAATACTATTGTAAGAAAATGTTGAACACAATCAAGTGTAGTTTATTCAAGGAATGCAAGGTTGGTATGATAAATCGCAAAATTATTTACAAATGAAAGTCAGCTTCAGTGGTCAGTATAGAAGACCCCCCCCCCCGTTTATATAGAAACAACGGAGATTGAATACTTAGCAATAAGCTTAACATGCAAAACCTATACAAGAAAAACCCAAAAGTATGCCCTTAACATATGAAATCTGACTTGAGAACTATAAAGACATTATCTGTTTTTGCAAAGAACAACAACATCATAAAGGGTCAATTCTTTCCTAAATGGCTTCCCAAGAAGTCAGACAGACAAGCTTTTTTAAAAAGGGATATTAGACATAAAAATTCAAGAATAATCAGGGAAAAGGGGGGAGAGGAGGATGTGTACCTCAGAAACAGGAATATACCTTAATGAAACTCTGTGGCACCAACATATTAATGTAGTGCACAAGCCAGACAAAACCAGCCACACACCTGGGGATTTGGTATATTTTAAGTGTGGGTCTGCAAATTATGGGGATAAGTGGTCTTTAAGTAAGTCATGCTCTAACACATATGTAGCCATATGGAAAGACAGATGAAATTAAGAGCATGTTACTCAGAGATAGATTCCAAAGCAGTCATAGACCACATGGGACCAATGAAATGACAAACAGCGGAGGAAACAGCAACCTCACAGGCTCTGGCTAACACTATATTAAAAATGACAAAAGATTATTTATTATGAGTACACAGAAATGGTAGGTTTCTTGCATGAAAAAATATGAACATCAACAGTAAACAGATCAAAGCTGAGGAGATGGCTGGGCAGTTAGGAGCGAGCGCTGCTCCTGCAGAGGACCCAGGTTCAGCTCCCAGCACAGGTCACAGCACACATCATCTGTAACTCCAGTTCCAGCGGAACCAATGCGCTCTTCCAGACTCCAGGGGCTCCCTATACACGTGGCATACAATCATGCAGGCAAAACACACATACATATGGATAAAACAAATCTTAAAAATGAAGCCAACTGAAAAATTTGAAAAAAAAATCATTTACAAGGAGTATCCAGACTGGGTTTGTTTGCACATCTGTCATTGTTTAAAAAAAAATCACACTGAAGAGGAAAAAAACCCTCAATAAATTAACGAAAATGAGACAATAATATGAACAGATTTACAAAAACAATAGGTGAGTGACCTTTAAAGATGAAACAAAAAGTCATTCCTGACTAGAGAATTGCAAAAGAAAGCAACCTTGAAATGGCACCCCCAGCCCCATGAAAACCTGAGGGTGCAACCCCCTGCCTCAGGCGAGGCTGCAAGGAGGCAACTGCCTCACACTTGTGCTGTCTCACCATGTTGTTCCCATGTTGCAGGGAAGGGCAGTTACTGTGGGCTATGCTCTCACCTTCATAAGAGAAGTGTGGCTCAACCTTGGTCTGAGAACTGTGCTCATGGATGTTCTCGGCAGTACTTCTGTCTTTAACGAAGAACATAAAAAAAAAAAAAGAAAGAAAGAAAAAGAATGACACACCGGTAGACACTAGGGAGCATTCACTTTTGAATCTTGGTTGAAATGCTACCACTGCTTCTGAATTTTCTCTGAAAATGAGTCAAGAAGTCACTACGTGGAAAGTACATTCCTTCCTCCATCTCTTGACTTCTCCATCCCTGGCTAAGAGTTGGTCCCCATGCCTTGATAGAGGGAGACAGTATAGGTTTGGAGAGAGGTCTGGCACAGGGTAAATGTTAGGGGATTCACAGGGATGACCCCCAACTAAGAATCCAGGCAGTGGTGGAGAGGATGCCATTGATGTCCTTCCCTTATAAAGAGATTGATGACTACCTTGGTTACCATTCCTAGAGCCTTCATTCAGTAGCTGTTCAAAGCAAAACAGGCATCCACAGCTAAACACTGAACCATACTACTGGAATCCAGTTGTGGAGAGGGAGGAGGGATGAGCAAAGGAGCCAAGACGGGGCTGGAGAAACCAGCATAAACAATGGATCTGACCTACTGATAGCATGGAGACCCTAGTCATAAAGCTAGGGAAACAGCATTGGACCAAATCAAGCCCTCTGAATGTGGGTGCCAGCTCGGAGGCCAGGGCAGTCTATGGGACCTCTAACAGGGGATCCAGTCTTTAACCCTAGAGCACAAATGGACTTTGGGAGCGCATTCCCTATGGAGGGATACTATTGCAGCCCAGATATAGCAAGGAGGGCCTTGGCCCTCCCCCAAATGATATGACAGACTTTGAAGGTCCCCTGTGGAGGGCCTCACTATCCCTGGGGAGGAGTTGGCGGGTGGGTTGGGGGTTGGTGGGGAACATGGGAGGATGGGAGGGCGAGGGAATGGGGGGAGATGGATATGTAAATATGAGTAGTAATGAAAGAATAAATAAAACACGATTAAAAAAAGAAGAAATGGGCCAATTCCTTGAGAATCACAAGCTTCCCAAGCTCAAAATCAAGTGTATAAAATCGGAGATGTGTAATAGCCATCTGTCCCTTGGATACATTTGCAACATATGAAAATCCCTAAGCTTAAGGCTGTTCACCATAGCCGTATCTGCCTGCAAATACTGAGACTGAAAACACCCTCCCTACAGAGGCCTGTGGTTGTGTGAGATGTGGAGAGAAAGGCAGAGGGAGAAAAATGACAGAATGGATACAAAGTTGTATGTGTGTGTCACCTGGCCTCCAGGCTTGGCTTGCTGAGCAATGTCACCCTACCTGGTTCTTGGTCTTTTAGGAGGACTTAGCAAGCAAAAAGGGAGCTAAACATGGGCAAGGAGGTACCAGTTAAGTGCCATGCATCTTGGGGGTGAGCAATGAATATGGGGATGGCTCCCAAGGTCAGCACAGTAAAAAATGACTATAGTTATCCCCTATAGTTGGCATGAGTGCCCAGCATTAGTGACTGAGTAAGCAAGGTAACCAAGAGTAAGCAGCTATTGTTTAGATCATAATCCTAATTCCTAAATGATATTAAGTAAACAAAGAATTACTGTTCAGCAAACACTGTGCCAAACCATCAGGCAATTTGTACAAACCTCTGATTGGGACCAGCTTGGGACTGCTAAACACTCATTTTACATAGAATCCTGTTTGTATTTACACCATGAAACTCTACATAAATCCATGCCAAAACTAGAGGCTAGTCCTTGGGGGAGCTATGTGGGGAGTGGGTGTAAATGCAGGATCCAGGGCCCAAGCAGAGCTTGGAGTGGGCCCAGGGGTGCATGCTAATGACCTCCTCTGCCCATGCCAGAAGCTACCATGCTTTGGAGCCTTGGTCTGGTTCTGTGTGTGTGTCACACCTCACAGTGCTCCATCCAAATCCTCCACACTGCACACCTCACAGTGCTCCATCCAAATCCTCCTCACTGCACACACCTCATAGTGCTCCATCCAAATCCTCCGCACTGCACACCTCACAGTGCTCCATCCAAAGCCTCCTCACTGCACACCTCACAGTGCTCCATCCAAAGCCTCCTCACTGCACACCTCACAGTGCTCCATCCAAAGCCTCCTCACTGCACACCTCACAGTGCTCCATCCAAAGCCTCCTCACTGCACACCTCACAGTGCTCCATCCAAAGCCTCCTCACTGCACACCTCACAGTGCTCCATCCAAAGCCTCCTCACTGCACACCTCACAGTGCTCCATCCAAAGCCTCCTCACTGCACACCTCACAGTGCTCCATCCAAAGCCTCCTCACTGCACACCTCACAGTGCTCCATCCAAAGCCTCCTCACTGCACACCTCACAGTGCTCCATCCAAAGCCTCCTCACTGCACACCTCACAGTGCTCCATCCAAAGCCTCCTCACTGCACACCTCACAGTGCTCCATCCAAAGCCTCCTCACTGCACACCTCACAGTGCTCCATCCAAAGCCTCCTCACTGCACACCTCACAGTGCTCCATCCAAAGCCTCCTCACTGCACACCTCACAGTGCTCCATCCAAAGCCTCCTCACTGCACACCTCACAGTGCTCCATCCAAAGCCTCCTCACTGCACACCTCACAGTGCTCCATCCAAATCCTCCACACTGCACACCTCACAGTGCTCCATTCAAATCCTCTACACTGCACACCTCACAGTGCTACATTCAAATCTTCCACGCTGCACACCTCACAGTGCTCCATCCAAATCCTCCACACTGCACACCTCACAGTGCTCCATCCAAATCCTCCACACTGCACACCTCATAGTGCTCCATTCAAATCCTCACTGCACACACCTCACAGTGCTCCACCCAAATCCTCCACACTGCACACCTCACAGTGCTCCATTCAAATCCTCACTGCACACCTCACAGTGCTCCATCCCACACCTCCTCACTGCACACCTCACAGTGCTCCATCCCACACCTCCTCACTGCACACCTCACAGTGCTCCATCCCACACCTCCTCACTGCACACCTCACAGTGCTCCATCCCACACCTCCTCACTGCACACCTCACAGTGCTCCATCCCACACCTCCTCACTGCACACCTCACAGTGCTCCATCCAAATCCTCCTCACTGCACACACCTCACAGTGCTCCATCCAAATCCTCCACGCTGCACACACCTCACACTATTACACCTAAGTCCTCTACACTGCACAGACTCCTTTCATCACCTTATCTAATCTAAGCTTTGTGGCAAAAACGTTCTATTGCCCCTGAACATCAAACTTCCCAGAGCCACTGTGCCCTGCCTCTGTTAGAGGGAGGATTTTCCTTACTCCCAGGGCTATGGAGTCTTGCTAACTCCTTCTGCCATGGAGAAGAGGTGACTTAGCTGGAAGCCTGCAGAGAGGCCTCTCTTCTACTCTTGACTTCCACACACCTGGGAGAAGACATTTCTGCTGGTGGTTGAGGGTTGAGTCCAGGGCACAGCTAAGGAGATGGGGGACCCTCAGCCTCAGGACAGGGCTACTTAATTCAGGTGGAGCAGCCATCAGGCACATCTGATGCTGGCTCCCGGTAATCTCCTAGCTCAGCAGGGGAGACGGGCTAGATCATATTTACCATTACCGTCGTTTTTCTCCTTGTTCATAGACGTTAGTTCTAAATTCTCCAATAACTCATGATAATTCTCAGAGCTATCTTCTTGGTAGTTTTCATCAACACCAGAAACTTGGATGAAGAAGATGGAAAGAAATAGGAAGGGTTTCCTTGTTACACTCCTGATATTGGGTGGGGGTAATCCCTATTTTACAATGCTGGGCTAGACCAATGCACAGTGTTCAAGTCCTAGTTATTAATATTTAAATAGTCAGGTGTTATCTAACTATTTTGAGCCCAGTGGTTTGTGTCTAGGTAGATGTGAATTGAGCAAACCCTTAAAATCTAGTCACATCTTAACATAAAAGCCCTCCCAGGATGCATTGAACCCTCCTGCCTCTGAAAGCATTTCCCATAGAGCCTCGGGGCTTCTTAACCCAGACTGCTCCTTTGCCATTGTCCATCACACCATCTGTTTGCAAAGGCTTCTTAACCCAGACCTCTCCTTGCCTTTGTCCATCACACCATCTGTTTGCACAGTCATGCAGTGTGGGGCTGTACTTTGCAAAGCATGTACTTTGTCTCTGTCTGTTGCTCTTCTTGGTTTGGGACATGTCATATGCTGACCTTGGTTTTACCTCAGTCACAAGGCATAGCAGAAGGGCTGTGCTCCTTGGGGAGCTGTAGGTGAGTGTCATGAGATGGCGTGTGTTAAACTGTAATGACCACACTTATCTGTAAGCCTGTGTTCCTGCAGTGGCTGAACCCCATTTACCCGCTTAGCCCCAGAATGCACACCAGTGTGACTCAGAGATCACCTCAGAGTGAAGCAAGCCATACTACACTGTCTCAGAGGAGACTCCCTCCCTGGTCTCAAGCTTCTCTCATGGATCCATAGCTGGTTCAAATAAATGCTCAAATATAGTCACATAGTCAACATCTCAGGGCTCTAGGAAAGCATGCCATTATGGGGGGTGAAAGGGCTGTACTTGCTTTTTTCCTTGGTTGATACTGATGTTATTGTCGCCTTTTTTGTTGTTGGAGCTTCAGACACTGCCGTTGTGTTTGGCTCCAAAATCTCTTGGGCTAGAATTTCATCTTGAGAAAGTATATAAGAGCATGTTAGAGCCAGTAAGCCAGGGTGCATGTCTCGTGCAGAGTTTGTACTTCAGGCAGCCTGTCAATACTGTAGGCAGAAAACAGGAACCCAAGGAACTGGTGGACTCTCTAGATAACCTCATCTTGGATGGGCTGGTCCTGCCTCCCTGAGTAGTTTCAGACAAGTAGGCACCATCTGGATATTTCCTAAGCCTTGCCCTTATATGGTGAATGGCCTCACATCCATATTTTAGTTAGCTTTGTGGTCTCTGTGACCCACTACCCGAGGTGCAACTCAAGGGAGGAAGGAGTAATTTTGCTACCAACTTCAGAGGTTTTGGGTCCATGATGGCGCACATAAAACTGCTCACATCAAGACAGCCAGGAAGCAGAATAAAGACCACCAGGAAGGAACTTGGGAAAGAGACATCCCTTAAATCCCTCTAACTCATCTCTCATCTTCCTCAGCACAGTTCTCTCATATCCCAACAATCGACTCGAATCTGGAATCTACTGGGAGATTAAACCAGTCACCCTGTCACAGCCTTAATGATCTAACCTCTCTGGAAATGCCCCCTCACATACAAAACACAAAGGTGTGTTTCAACAATCTTCCAGGAGTCCCCTGGAGGAAGTAGCCCTTCAAGCCAAACATCTGATGAAGCTGCCGTCTTCATGATGCCTGCTTGCAAGGAGCCACTGCTTGGGCTTGTTAACTATTGACATTCCCTCATGGAAAGAGGGGGTGGAAGAGTCAGTGAGCTCTTACTTAAGTATCAGCCACCCCTCCCGTCATTGGCATGTAATTCTGCCCTAATTGCACATGGCCTCTGGAGTCCTGGGGAGGGGCAAAGGATATAGACAAGGGAAAGAACACTGTAGGGTGCTCCATACAGGAGAAACCACCATCCATGCTGGGTGAAGACTTTGCAGTGCCGCTTTGGAGTCACCAGAGGCTGCTGGTAATAGCATGCCCTCACCCATGCTCCATAAGCAAACCCATTCAGCTCATTTGCTCCTCAGGGTGAACTCCAGTAGAATAAAGCTTTGGTTTGTATTGGAACTTTATAAGTAGGGGTTAGACATTGACTACCGGAGAAGAAATACCCACAACAACCTCAATCCAATCAATCTGATAGTTAAGATTACCAACAAATACATCCCTTGTCAACTTCACACCCAAACACAACTCCATAAATCATAGCATTCCACCGTTGGCCTGCAAAAGGCTCATGTCTGTCCTCATGAGCCCCCATAATATTTACAATTTCAATGCTTCTAAAGTCCAAGCAGAGACTCTCCACAGGCTGAAGGCAAGTCTCATCTGTAAGTCTCCATAAAAAGTATGAGTTGCTTCCAAATGCAATGTCAGAGTTACACATTTCCTTTCCCAAAGCGGAAAAAGGAGATAGCAGAAGAGCAAAGAAAAAGTGCACCAAAGCAAGACTAAAATATAGCAGGAGAAACACCAAGTTCAGTAGATCCATGTCTGGCATCTGGGCAAGTGGTGTCATGTGAGCTCAAAAGAGCTTGGGTGGTCCTGTCCCTATGGCTTGACAGTTTGCAGTCCACATGGCTCCTTTCTTGTGCTGTCTATATTCATTGCCTGTGAATTTCATTGACTAATATTCCACCTTCTCTACTGCAGTTTAAAGTTTATTCTCTCATAATTGCCCTCTTACAGGGAATTTGGCCCTGCTACATATTTCCCTGTCTTCTCAGGCTTCTTTTGAAATCTGGTCAGAAGCTTTCATGAAACTGTAACTCTTGCATTCTGTATATCTACAAAACCAGTCTCATGTAGATGAAGCCAATTTAAGCAATAACTGGATCTACTTGGACCATGACTACTTTGGCATCTTAGGGCTGGGTGACTGAGCACTGTAAAAGGATAGAGGGAAACAACTTCTCAGGCAGCCCCATGGTGAACAGTGTGCCTTAGGGGCACTTATGTTCTCAAAAGAAAAAAAATAACTAAGTTTGCCTTTTAAACCTTGAGCCTATGATGGGGCTGGCCAACTCCTACAAGGTCTTTGATGCATTAGAGTCCTTGGCTTCTTTTTGACAACCATACTCATTTGAAAAACTATGCCTTCCTTAGTCCTAGCTTGACACAGATTTTTCTGATCAGCCTGAAAACTTTTCAAGTCTTTCTGCTCTGTCCTTTCTCCCGGTTCTCATGGTAAACCTAAACCTGTCTAAAAGCATCCGGTAGTAACCATGCCATAGCCTAAAAGTGGGACTAAGTTACAATTTCCTCTGGTGGGTTAATTAGTTAGTTTTAACCCAGTTTCCCATAAAGCTGCAAGACATGTACAAAAGAGACAAATTCTTGGTGAGAATGTGAGAGACTTAATTCCCAATAGGGTCTTCATTTCTATATGAAACTTTGTAAGTCTGGTGTCTTAGTTAGGGTTTCTAACTTTGTTGTGATGAAACACCATGACCAAAAGTAGCTTGGAGAGGAAAGGGTTTATTTCACTTCCACTTCCACATTATAGTCCAACACTGAAGGAAGTCATGACAGGAACCCGAACAGGGCAGGAGCCTGGAGGCAGGAGCTAATGCAGAGGTCATAGGGGAGGGGTGCTGCTTACTGCCTTGCTCCTTGTGACTTGCCCAGCCTGCTTTCTTATAAAACCCAACACTTCTAGCCCAGGGGTAGCACCACCCATAATGGGCTAGCCCTCCCCGATCAATCACTAATTAAGAAAATACTCCACAGGATTGTGCATAGTCTGATTTTATGGAGGCATTTTCTTAATTGAGATTCCCTCCTCTCACATGACTTTAGCTTGTGTCAAGCTAACATAAAACCATTCATTACACCCGGTCTCCACCATTTACATTCCCATTGCATTCTGGAATTTTGAGCTCCCAGCAGAAGCATCTGTTTTTCAGGACCAGGGACAGCACCAGGGAGCCATGTGGAGCCCATGGGTGACCTATGTATCCTAGAGTCAGGAACCTGGTCCAGGCAGACTGCAGTTAAAGTTAGTGTCTTTGCCATATTCTTTGGAATATGAATACCAGAAAGTGTAGTACTTTACCTGCACCCATACTCCATCTCTGTGGGACAGCGTTGGTCACATCAATGGTACTCACACTGTAGGGTAAATTTGACTCTGATGTTGGCAATAAAGCTGCAGGCTAGGAGAACCTGGCTGAGGCCTCAAAGCAAGTCAGTTTCCCCAATGTCTGCAACTGGTGATGGGTTATTTGGGAAACGTCCCATTCTCTTAGCACATACCAGGCTGTATGGGGAATCCTTACCAAACACTTCCGGTATGTCATCAGTTGTTGACTTGAGTGTGTCGTCAGTAACTGGACCTGAAAGTCGATAGGGAAAGGATAAAAATTGATAGTTTTACAGCATTTATGGATTTTCACCCACCTCTCTGTGAACAGATAGTTGGTGAGGGATGGATGGCCCCAGCCTGCTCTAGAGGAAGGAGCCTGTGTGGAGTGCCGCTCTCTTCCAGGTGTGCTGAGGGAAAGGCATCACCCGTGGGACCTCTGTGTGGGTGGAATCCATGATTTCCCCAGGTGTCCTGAGAAGAACCTGCCCTCCTGGTCACTGGAGTCACCCTCGTGGATGGTAAGACAGTGTCCACACTCAGGGACAACTCAGCTTTATCACAGGGGCAAAGAAGGAGGAGGGTCACATGCTTTGTTTTGTAGGAAGCAGTGCTTTGCCTCCTACATGACTGTCGATACCATCTGGGTGGCCACCAGGCAGGGAAACTCCAGCCTGGGATCCCACAGCAGTCTGGAGCCCAGCTTGGCACACAGAAGAAGCACTTCCCCAGCCTCTGACTAAGGCTTTCCATGTCTCCAGCCAAACACTTGCTTTGTCCTGTGACAAGAAAACACCTCCTAAGTGTTTTTATCTGAGCCCCTGGGTGACCCTGCACACTCACTGGTGCTGAGTTTCTCTCAGGGGGAGTGGTGGGCCAGAGGCTGGTCTCCTCATTCCTCCTGCATGAGGAGAGCCCTCCAGGGTGGTCTGTCTGCTGGTAAGAAGTGGAGTCTCTGATGAGTGAGCTGAAGAGATCTGGATGGCAGTTGTCTCCAGAGTCCAGGGCTGTCATATCTATGATGTCTGCTTCCTGATGGACAGGAAGAGCTATGCTGGGCGTATAAGGTCTAGCTATATCTGGACACTATGGGAATTCTGAAGACCGGTTTCTCCTCTGCAGCATCCAGAACACACTTACTCCTTCTGACATGACCTTTGCTTATCTCAGGGGGTGTGGCGTCTCTTCATCTGGCACATCCCTTAGTTTGAGCTCAGGGGTGGCCTCTTCTTCCAGCTCCCAGGTCCTGGGACTGCCAAAGATGGAAAGTAGGGCCACCATACCTTCCCTTTCTGAGGCACAGAGCTCTGTCTGGGATAACTAAAGTTGCAGCTAAACCAATGACAAAGCTGTTCTCAAAGGCTTTAATGATGGACAATCTGCATCTCAATGTGCTCATCTGCACAGCTCAGAACAATGGGAAATATGTAAGGAGGTCTGTGATGGTGATGACAATTGCTTCCCAGTGTGCTGACCTTGGTAAATGAAGCAAATACAGTATAGTTCTCTTTGCATGAGACATTAATGGAACATTACGAATGGGTACAGCTGCGCAGCGCCAGCACTTTGTTAAAAATATTCTTTTCATCTTGTGTCTGTCCCGTAATCACAATGGAAGCATTGTGCAAGTCAGCCGTGTGCACATGCGTGGTGTGTATGCTCATGTTGTCCATGCCTGTTCACGTGCATTGTCAGATGTAGCTGCTCTACCGCACATTTCCTGTTGTCACCTCCTCCTGAAAGTCGCAGCTTCCAGACAGCACACACCCACAAGGTCAGAACACTCTGAAGTCTTCTCAGTGCCTGTGTCAGCACATTCTGGCTCCATAAAGTTCACTGTTGCTTTCTGAGTTCACTCAGGTTAATTGAGTGAACATAAGCGAGTCCTTCTCCATTACAAGTGTCATGTCAACTGCTGTCCTTCCTCTCAGTGGCCAGCACCTCCTGTGAGGGACCCACACACTATAGCATGCACAGCTCCTCTCCTTCCAAGCAGTGGAAACACCACAGGATAGGATTAGTCTCCCTGTGTTACTCTTAGAGCAATGTGAAAACTGCTCTTTCATCGGCCCCTCAGCTGAGGAAGACCTTGAGTGTCACATGGGTTATGATCAGGTCTCAAGCTGGGAAGACCTTGAGACTCACCCAGAGTTCATCCAGGTGTTAAGCTGGCAAAAACTTCAGGAGTCACCCAGGTTAAAACTGGGTCTCAAGCAGGAGAAGACGTTGGATGTCATCAAGGCTTTGACCAGGACTCTGGAGGTCATAGTGGCCAGCCAAAGCAGCAGCAGCAGCAGCAAGCTCCTCAACAAACACCTGCCAAGGATTCTCTGAGACAAGAGCTGGGTTTGGCAGCCATACCCAGGCATGGACATGTGGTGATTGCAGAGACATGGTTAATGGTGTGGGTGCTATGCCCACTTTCCCAGCTCCAGTACCTCATAACACTTTCCTAGTAAGCACCTCAGAACTTAAGTAAAAGAAAAGTAGGATGCTGGCATATTTCATGCCATCATTGGACCATGGAGCCCACCTGCCCTTGTACAAATAGTGAACCAGGCTAGATTGGCTGTTAGCACTCAGGCCAGCACAACATGTTGTACTGAGGAGAGTCCCATAAGCCCTGTGGGAATCAGAGATGACTTGCTCACCCTGGGAGATGGAGCTGGGGACCCTGGTTGGGCTCATTTTGTGAGCCTTGGTCCTTGACTATCTCTGAAGAAGGCTGATGGGGAGGAAGGATGCGGCTTGAGTGTGCCTAGAAGTGTGCCAGAACAAAAGTCACATGGGTCCCTGCTTGGGACTTGGCTTCAACTGACCTAAAGGACATCTGAATCAGTGGACATACTTCAATGTGGATTGGCTAAGTTGAGGCAGGATAGAAAGTCAAAGAAAAGACAGGTAAAAGACAGAGAAAGGCAGAGGACATGAGACAAGGAACGAGTTCCTTGACCCTGGGTTTTGTTTAAGAATCACAAAAACAGCTGACCCTGCAAAGAACAATAATCCTTTATCCAGGAGAGAACATAACCCTGTGAAGGCAGCTTAAAACTAAAATGTCTGTGATTTTTGAGTTCAGCCTCATTGTTCTCCCCTCCCAACAAACCACTTTTCTGAGTAAGTCTCACAAACAAAATAATCCATGTTTATTGTCAAAACGTATGCCTAGATGTCCTAGTGGACTATTGGTAGAAATTCCTTAGCCTTCGACCCATGTTGTGACCAGCTAACTTGTCAGCCATTACAGTGTATCCCAGAGCACCTTGAGATCTCATGTATTAATGTAAAATCCCACAGAGAAAAAGAAAGACAGCCTTTGGACGGTCTAACTGTCTGTGGTCATGAATCCTCTGTAAGAACAGCTAGTGCCCTTAACCCCTGAGACATCTCTCCAGTCCTTGGTTAAGACACAAGCTCGATTCTGCCTTTAGAAGCCTGTATTCCCTCCTGAGTGTGTGCTCCATTCCATTTCTGAAGCATCTCTCTCAACACTCATTGAGTTCTGTGAACAACTAAACCTCCCCAGTCTGGGCTTTGGGTGTTGGGAGAAAGAAAGAAGCTACTTAGAGGCAATTTTAACCAAGCTAGTGCTGCCACCATTAGTAGGGTTTTATAGAATTTCTAAATAATGGAAACTATTGAGACATTTGCTGTTAAGAACGAATTTATATTTACATTCTTGCCTTCTTCTTTCATACACACAGAGAAGACTAAATGTATTTGGCTATGTTAATAAGCTTGCTGCTTTTGCCACATTAAACATGATGGGTGGTGGGCTGGGAAGATGGGTTAGTTCACAAAGGGCTCCCCTTGCAAGTGTGGGGGCTTGAATTCAGAACCCGTAGACGCATGGTGGTATGCACTTACAACCCCAGCAATGGATTGAGGGAGGGCAGAGACAGGATGACTCCTCCGAGCCCAAGAGCCAGCTTCACCTATACGATAAATGTGGCATGAATAATAAAACACCCAGTTTGGGGTTCAAGCTGAAGAACAGAAAGCAAAGCTACCAGCCACTAGCTCTTACCTCTATCAAAGCTGGGGCAATCCTATCCTCAGTGTGGCTGGAGACTGAATGCCACATGATACCCTGAGGTCCTACCTTATATTCCTTTATAGTGCTGGGATTAAAGGTGTGCACCCCCCAGCCTCTATGGCTAACTAGTGTGGCTGCTGGGATTAAAGGTGTGTACCACCACTGCCCAGCCTCTATGGCTATGGCTTTGCATTCTGTCTGATCTTCAGGTTGGCTTTATTAGATCATAAACAATATATCACCACAGACAAAATTCCAGGCTAATGAGAGATTCTGTCTGAGGCTGGCCTCTGACCTCCACTTGACTGTGCACATGTGTGCATACATGCATGCATGCATGCCTATACAAATGCACACACCCACACCAACTAAAATGATACAATCATGGCTCTAAGCTTTGTAAGATGGAAAGTCGGGAAACTTACCACCAATTACAGTGACTGATAAGTCATAGTTTCTAAGTTTTCTCCATTCAAATTACTACTTGTGTGTAATTAAAACTCCTGTGACTCATGGGAAAGAGAGATGGCTTTGCAAGCAGGCTTCAGTGAAAGTGGTCCATGTTTGATAAGGGGAGCCACAAGACATAAAGGATGGATCTTTGTTAAAGAAAGAAGAAAGTCATTTTGTCATAAATAGTTTTAAAGTTATTTAATAAAGAGGGGGAAAAGGAACAAAAAGCCTAAATGGGTAGGGTAAGGTGTGAAGGGTCTATGAGAAAAAGAAGAGAAATCTAATCTCCCATGGCTGGGCTGGGTAAATGGATGGCCATTGTCAGGTTTTGAAATGAGCTCCAGTATCAGGCGTGCGGCCATGTGGAACGGCCTCTGCTGCTGTCTTGCTGAAAGGGCAGACTCCTTGGACTATTGGCCTCCTCTTCATAAGCAACATAACTGTTTTCTTTACTTGTTGAGTAACCTCCCTTGTAGACAAAGGCTCCGTTCTTACCAAAATAATTTCCTGTGCTTCGTGTTGTCTTTTCAAACTTTTTATTACTTAAGAAAGTGGAACCCTCTCAATATTGAGAGAGTGAAGGTTGGTTATCCCCGCCCCTTTAACCACTATCTCCCTCCTCTATTTCCCTTGAAAATCGTTGTCATTTTGGTTTGCTGGGAAGCTAAGTACTGTTTCATAGTAGCCTGCGATCTCAGTCAACTCCTCAATGTGTTTGACAGTTTTTGGCACTTCTGAATTAAATTCTAAATGCAGTCTTTCTGACCTCAAGCTAACTTTGAAATTTCCCAGAGGCCCCTGGTAAGTCTCTGGGGATTTGTTCTGTCATCATGTGAAAGACAGATCTTAAGCTAATTGTGATGTGAAATTGTAGGGGGAAGCTTTGTGGAGTAAGCAGCGTTGAATCCTTTGTATCACACCTTTGTGAAGATATGTCAGGTGCCAGAAGCTGAGATCCTCAGAGATTTGCCTTGTCTTTACTAGACACGATAGGTCCCCAGACAGTGTGATCGGTCATCATTATTGCACTTACTGACATAAAACACTGTAGGCCTTGAGAATGACCACCTCTCCCTGATGACCTCAGAATGGTGGGCAGGTTTTAGAGCCGGGCTGTTTGCAGATAATTCCTGTTTTTTCTCGGATGCTTTTCTGAAAGCAGGTGTACTCAGCTATAGTCCAAGCTTGTCTGCAAGAAGTCTTGGGACACTCTGACCAAGAGACCAGACTCAGACTGCCAGTGGATCCAACATTTACCTGCTGGGCTTCTGGAGCCTCACTGGCTACAGGAAGGAGCAGATGGGTCCCTGAAGCATACAGACTGTGGTTTGTTGGAGCAGGCCAGGGGCCTATGGTTTCAGAGCCTTTGCCTGAAGCATGGTTGGTGCTTTTGTACTTGATCTGCATATTCAAAGACAGTAGTCCAATAACTTCGAGCAGCTTTGAAATTATCCTTGTTTTGATTTTTATTTTTGGAGGTAGGGTCTCTTCATAGCCCTCTGTTCTGGGATTCACTATGTAGACCAGAGTGGTCTCAAACTCACAGATCCACCTGCCTCTGCCTCCTGAGTGCTGGGATTAAGAATTTGTGCCACCACAGCCAGCCTGAAATTGTACTTTTTGAAGTGTATTTTTTAAAGATTTATTTACTTATTTGTGTGTAGGTGATTGTGTGCATTCTCTCTCTCTCTCTCTCTCTCTCTCTCTCTCTCTCTCTCTGTGTGTGTGTGTGTGTGTGTGTGTGTGTGTGCCTATGTAAATCAGCTACAGTTACAGGTGTTTGTGAGCCACCCATCATGGGTGCTGGGAAGCAAAGTCTACTCCTTTGTGAGAGCAGCAAGCACTCTTAACTACTCAGCCATCTCTCCCACCCCTCATAATTACACTTTTACAAAAAAATTCTCTCTGTTTGGTCCCTCTAAAATCTCTCTCAACATTTATTTTATAACCATGTAAGTATTTGCATAAGTTCAGTAAGATATTATTCTTTTCCTTTAAAAAAGTAACTTGTTTTTTTATGTGTGTGGGTATTTTGCAAGCAGACATGTCTATGAACCACTTGCATTCTTGATGCCAGTGGAGGCTATTAAAGGGTCTCAGGTCCCCTGAGAGTGGGGTTACAGACAGTTGTGGGCTGCCATATGGGTGCTGGGAATTGAACCAGGGTCCTTGGAAGAGCAGCTA